AAAATTTATTAAAAAAGTAATATCTAGTAGTTAAATACTAGTAAAATTTTACTATTTTTAAAAAGCTTATTTAAAATCTGTTAGTAGTATTTAAAAACTATATTTTATAACTAGTACTGTACTGTTTTTATAAAAAAAAATTTAAACTATTTTAATACTTACTAAGTAATAAAAATAAAATTTTAAAATTCTAAATATTTAAAAAATTAAAATAGTAATTATAATTTAGTAAAAAATTAAAGAATACTAGTTTTCTAGTTTAGTTAACTAACTTTAGTAGTAGATTAAAATTTAAATATTTATATAAAGCTATTTATATTAGTATTTACTATTATAAATAAAAAAATAATATAGTATATATTTTTTATATAAAGTTTTAGATATAATAAGTTCTAGTTTACTTTATATATAAAATAATATATTTTTTTATAGTTAAAGTTTTATTTTTAAGACTAAAATAATCTAATAATTTTTTATAATATTTATATATTACTTTTAAAATACTATCTAAAGTTCTTATAACTTAAATAAAGTAATTCTAAATTTTAAAAAAATATTTTATATTTTAATATATTTGTTATTTTCTACTAAAATTGGTTTAAAGCTACTAAATAATATAGTTAATAATAGTTATAGTAAAATAAATTATATAATAATTATTATAATTAAAATAAATATAATTAAAAAAATATAAAATTTAGTAGTAAAACTAGTTAAATAAAGTTAAAGTTAACTATAAACTCTGTTTTATAAATAATATTCTATTAACTACTTAAAAGATTAGATATAATTTTATTAAAAAAAAACTGGGCTACTATTAAAAATATTTAAATAATTATTATAATATAATAATAAATAAATATTAGTAAATTAAAATATTCTAAATAAAAAATTATAAATATTTAACAGTAAAATTATAAACTTATAATAAAAAAAATTTTTAAATTAAAGAAGAATAGGAAATATTTTTATTTTATATTTTAATTTCTAAATTAATAGTTTATATTAATTTTATTATAAAAAATTTAACCTGTTTAAAATAGTAAAAAATAAAAACTAATTAAATTATAAAATAAATAAATAATCTATAGATAATTTATAAATTAGATAAATTATCTGCTAAAAATTTATAAAATTTATAAATTATCTACTAAAAAATTTTTCAATTTATTTATATAGGCTAGAAAAAGCAGATAAAGTAAAAAAAGTAGTAAATATTAAAAAAATAGTAAATATTAAAAAAGCAGATATTTTAGCTTTATATTATAATATTTAAAAAAATTTATTAGTTAATTAAGGCCTGCAGAATATAGTATAAATATATTTTATAAAATAATATAAATTAAAAAATATAAAAAAAAATTACTATCTAATCTAATAATTTTATAGAGTTGTTTACTTTATAAAATATATATTTATAGCTGTATATAAAAGTATTCTACTAATAATACTAATATCTTAATTTTAATACTTTTAGTAGTTATTTTTATATAAAAAAGCAGTAGCCTATACTAGTATAAATCAGATTTTAAATATATTTTATATAGATATAATAATTTAAAAAAAAACTACTATTATAAAATCTTAATACTTATATAGAATAAAAAAATAAAAATTAGATTAGATTATTTAGTACTTTTATATATTTTAGTATAGTTTAAAAAAAACTTTATATTTAAATAGGTTTTTAGTAGATAATCTATAGGTTAATATACCCAACCTGCAGATTAGCAGATTTGGGTTTTGGGTCTAGAATTCAGACCCGACCTGTAGCAAGGCCTAGTTTTATATAAAGTTATTAAAAAAGTAATTAAAGCTGTAGAATAATTTATATAAAATACAGTTCTATTTTAATAATAAGTTAAGCAGTTCTAATTTATCTAAGTAAATAAAAAAAGCCTTATATTATTATATACAGTATAAAGGTACTTTAATAGGCTAAGAAAACTTTAATATAATTTAAATATAAAAAGTTAAAGTAATTTAGACTGCAGTACTAAGGCTGGCTAAAATATACCAGCCAGCCTGCTGCAGTATATATAAAAATAAAAAATATAATTGCTTAAAATATTTTTATAAAAATAATAAAAATTAATATATATAGCCTTTTATTAGTAGTTTAATAGTCTTAGAAAGCGGCCAGTAAGGCAGTCAGCAAGGCGGCGGCAGACCGCCGCCGGCTCGGTGTCGCGCCGGCTTGGTGTCCGATTACATTAAATGAGCAGGTGACGTAAGCAGCAAACCATTCTTCCCTTAGGACTGACTGACCACTGCCTATCAACTTACCTCTGCGGCTCTATGTGATCGCCACTGGATTTTGACAAATCATGAGGGATCTGTTCCCCCTTAGTCGGCACGCATGGGTATTATATCAGACAACTTGATTTAGACATTTACTTGAAAGCTATTGCAATACAGAATCACACCAGTGTCAGCCCCAATGTTCAACCTTCCTAAGCATCGGAATTTCTGGAAATGAGCTGTCACATATGTTCCCGCCCCCCGACTTCAAACCTACGGTGCATCTGTCCCACCTGTGCTCGCAATCGGCTCTACCAGCTACGGATCGAGTATTCCAAACTGCTGCTTGAGAAAGAGTCTATAAAACAACAAATCGAGGCTGAAGTACTGCTGAGCAAGCTAAGCGAAGGCCTGACGGAAGAGAAGAGCATCTTCCATGTCTGCCTTGATGGAGTGTCTTCATCCTGGGTCTCACGGAGGATTGTGGAAAAGGAAGCTGGGTCATCTGCGAAAACGACAGTTCTTGCAAGCCACATCGAGGGGCTAGTTAGTGACATCAGAGAAAAAAGACTCGAAATCTCCCGACGCAGGGTATCTTTAGCACGACGGCAGTCGGACGCAGAATCCGCAAAGTATCAGCTTTTCGAGCGAGAGACAGCAATCCTGGCCAGTATACAGAACAATATTAAAAGGATTGATCATCTTTGGCACTCCCTTCACAGCAAGACCACAGAAGCACGGATATTTCTGTGCCGAGAAGCAGCCAATCTCTACAATTTACGGCAGGGGTTGAAAAGAGTTGACGGTGTAGTACAAGAGACCTATACCATCGGCGGTTTGCACTTGGTCGATCTCAGGCATATGAATGGAAAGTATACCCTCGGGCAATGACTAGATATGTTTATTTTATTAATTCTTCAAGTAGGTGTCTCGCCGGCCCATATCTCAACGGCACTCGCATACATCGCACAGCTACTTGTCCTCATCTCCCACTATCTATCTCTAAGACTTCCAGCAGAAATTACGCTCCCTCACCGGAATTATCCTTTACCAACTATATTTGCGCCCTCTGCGTCGTACCTCCTAAGAGATGTAGGCTCGAAGTTGCCTTCTGCACAGCAACCATCGCCTGATTCAATAGAACCTCAGCGACCTGACTCACACCGTATGTCTCGGCCAAGGCCCTTGTCCATTGGCAAAAGTCTTCCCAGATTGGCGAAGGAGGATCCTGGCACATATGCCCTTTTTCTCGAAGGAGCGACATTGCTGGCTTGGAATGTTGCTTGGCTGTGCCGCACCCAGGGGCTCAATTCAATGTCAGACTCTTGGGAAGAAATCTGCGACATGGGGAAGAATCTATGGCAATTGCTTGTGGCACCTCCCGCGCAGCAATCAACACTAATGAGGGCGTTTGCTGGTCGAGACATCCACGTAAAGGTGAAGACATCCAAGGTCTCACCTAAGACTAGTATTCAACGAACCGTGTCATTCCCTATGTTAGGACACTATTCGCACGGCACTGTGCATTCCTTCCTGGGCGCTGCCGAAGGTGCAGAGTTTATGCGCACTTGGAGGCTTCCATCCCCGACCAGAGTCATAGATAAGCTGAAGTCGACTTTGATGGGAGAATTGGCGAGTGCAGAGTGGGAGTTACTCGAAAGGCGCGAGTTGGAGGACATCATTCATGACCGAAGCAGTTCTGTGTCTCAATCTTCTTCCACTATTCCTGCTAGTACCTGCAAAACGGGGTCTGTCAACGCAGATGCAGTCTCAGAATCACATGATCTGGAGATTTCAAGTGGTGCTGGCAGCACTTCCCGCTTGAAAGGCGTGAATGGCTGGACCAAATTGAGAAGCAGATAGTATGATGGAAGTCTAAGCATTCAAGTCCTAGTGCAAACATCGGTGTCTATATGTTTGTGAATCGAGAAGCATATAGCAGTGGCTAGAGTAACGGGGCTGGTACCTTTAGAAATGTTTGCACCTCCCTCTCTTAGATGGCTCATCCCAATTGTCTAGCAAGACTACCTGGTAGCAACACCTTCATACTGCGGGTATAGTCACGGTGAGGTGCTCTTAGTCATACAGATCATTAAAGAATACCTTACCTAGCGACCAGGCAGGCGGTGCATGGGTGTAGCGTTTTTAAACCAATTATTTTGGGGCGCAGGGGGGTGGAAACTCATTTCCTCCCATAATATTCTTGAGTCATGATGGCCTGGTACCAGTACCAAAACTACTTTTATAATCTGGTACTTCCCACGGTACATGTGATGCTATTGTTGAATCTGATGGAAATACGTAGTTAGGCAGGATCTTGAGACTTTGTTCTGTCCACGACGATGCGTAGCTAAATTATAGCAGTCACATACTAAGTACAATAAATAATACTAGGTCCGCGGTATGTAGTTTAGTTACCTAGGCTGCTGGAGCCAGTATTATATAATCAGGCCGGGAAGATAAGATTATCAGAGAGTAAACTCGTGTTCACTGAGTAATTCCGACACCAATCCTGCACGATGTGCCTTTGATACAAAGGTAGAAACCAACTTCATATGCCGTTTCCTAGGCAGGTCACTTGGAGCACTCATTGATCAATTGGACATCATTTTCGTGGTATCATTTGAAAAAAGGAGATACCTCTTGCCGTTTCCCCTCACTTTCACTCGAGACCTTGCCGAAGCAGACGGCACGCCCAAAGTCAGCCATAAGGTCATGGATATAGCGGGAGTCGGATTTTCCACGGGCATTAGACGAGAATGAACCCAACTTCATCATGGGAGCAGGCTAATATTAGCCATATTGGTGAGTCATAGCACACTCCATAAGCAAAGTGAGATTCATCGAGCACGACGGTGAAACTGTCATTGCATGTTTTTGCGTTTCCTAAATAGCAAATAATAGACACTTGCTAATGTCGCAGGCGTCGGAAATGCCAGTTTGTTGATTGCGAGTATCCCTGATACTCTTCTGCGAGCCGAAATAGCACGGCGAACCTCAAACAACAGTGCTGCAACCTGTGGCTCAAAAGAACGAGGTGCTTATAATACTCCGATTCATGTCCTAGCACTTTTTCTTATACTTGTGTTAAGCACACTTGGTATGCCTTATCTCCTCTTGTGCAGTACATTTCAAACCTCCGAGTCTAACGCCATAGATACAAGCTTGTTCATTTCCTGTACTTGCCCGCCGATTCCCCCGCCTACCAATACCGCGTCGGTTTCTTTTTTTATCTAGGCATTTTGGAACAGGAGTTTTGATTGCCACTGCCTTTGTCCATTTGCTGCCCACGGCATTTATTTCCTTGACTGATCCCTGTCTTCCTCGCTTCTGGAGTGAAACATACCGCGCCATGGCTGGATTTGTTGCCATGATTTCGGTCTTTGTTGTTGTGCTTGTGGAAATGTTCTTCGCCCTAAAGGGGGCAGGTCATGTTCACGGGAGTGAATACGACAAGCTAATGAATGATGTCGGTATAGACTTGGCAAGTGGGGGTCTGCATGAAGACTTAGAGGACGACCAAGAGCCCGGAAGTCATGTTTATCTTGGTAGGCTTGAGGCGTATCATAGCACAGACGCGGTACCACCATCGTCAAGTTCTTATATCGGAAGCCCAACCAACGAGCCTACTCTGTCTAGCACTCTGGGGCTTACTGAGTTGAGTGATGGTATAGACTTTACCCGGTCACACCATCATGCTACTTCTCCTTTGGATAGGAAGAGTGATCAAATGCATCGGCGCTCATCTTCTAGCGAACGACAAACTCACGCTGATCTGCACCAAAGGACGAACATGGAATCATCTAGACATAATCCGCAGCGACAGCTACTGCAATGTCTGCTGCTGGAGGCGGGGATTCTTTTTCATAGCATTTTTATTGGGATGGCTCTCAGTGTTGCCACAGGAACTTCATTCATTGTCCTCCTCGTCGCGATTTGCTTTCATCAGACGTTCGAGGGGTTTGCTCTGGGTTCAAGAATTGCGTCACTGATCCCAGACCTCTTTGCCCCGTCTTCCATGAAACCATGGCTGATGTCTCTCGCGTACGGAACTACCACCCCTATCGGACAAGCCATCGGCCTCATACTGCATAATTTCTATGACCCAGCAAGCACTACGGGGCTACTTATGGTTGGTATCACGAATGCCATTAGCAGTGGTCTTCTATTGTTCGCGGGTCTTGTTGAACTTCTGGCAGAAGACTTTTTAAGTGAAACCAGTTACGCAACACTTAGAGGAAGGAGGCGCATCGAGGCCTGTATTGCAGTGATGGCTGGGGCTTTGTTGATGGCGGTTGTTGGCGCTTTCGCTTAAGCAGTTAGGTTTCATCCTCAAGGTCTCAGTCTCCTTACTCTTGAGTACGTAGTCACTTTTTCACTGAACATTGAGACACAGGTCAGAATCTGGTGTCCCATTAAACTCATCTAGCAGCTACCTGATAGAACAGAGACAAGCAGGTCAATATATGCGGTTCTCGCGACACTCGTCGATGCTAGCCATATTCTCTGATCCTATTTCTACTGCACGTTATTCCCTAGATCTCTTTGAGCTATGTGTTCCCACAACTGTTTTGGGATTTCTTTGCATGGTTTGATATAGGATATTGTCCCAGGCAAAGCCATGGCCTGTATAAATTTAGGACATACCCTCCGCACTACGGCCTTTAATCCAAGGAATCATGAAGAAATGGTTAAAGATTGGTTTCCTGGGAAAGACACGGTGCTATATGACGCCTAGCATCTTCAGTCCAACATTTGACGCGAGAATAAATTGTTATCAGACCGCTCGTGGGGGACTCGTCGGTCTTCTTTGAAACAAAAATGGCCATGAGCTCAAGTGACTCACCGGAATTGCGCTTCCAAACGTTAGACAAGAGATTCCACAACCATGGCGCTCGCGCCACCACCTCCATTGCAAATTCCCACACAACCGATTTTGCCGTTCCGAGCTTTAAGAACACCAAGCAGGGTAGTCAAAATACGGGCACCGCTGGCACCGATCGGATGACCGATAGCAACAGCACCGCCATGAATGTTGACCTTCTCTTCGGGGATGTTGAGCAATTTCATGTTGGCCAGAGCAACCACGCTGAACGCCTCATTGATTTCAAATGCATCCACAGCATCCTGGGCAATACCTGCATGTTTAAGTGCCTTGGGAATTGCGAGAGCCGGCGCAGTAGTGAATTTACTAGGCTGGTGAGCAGCATCTCCCCATCCAAGGATTTTAGCAACGGGTTTGAGGTTAAGCTCTTTAACCTTTGCTTCGGAAACCAGAACGATAGCCGCAGCCCCGTCATTCAAAGGGGAAGAATTAGGGGCTGTCACAGTTCCCGACCCAGGAATGAAAGCAGGCTTGATAGCCCGAAGCTTATCAGGATTGAGCTAAAAGGAGAGAAAAAGTACAACATCAGCCCGGGTGTGTGCAAAGAGGAATTCTAGGGAACCTACATTCTTCGGCTCCTCGTCCTGAGACACCGTCACACCCGGCTTGCCCCTGAATCCAGGCAATTCAATAGGTGCGATCTCGTCATCGAAAAGACCGGCTTTCTGTGCAGCCTGAGCTTTTTCGTAGGTCCGGATAGCATAGTTGTCCTGCTGTTCCCGGCTCAAATCGTGGTCTTCTGCACACTCTTCGGCTTGCAAACCCATAAGTTCCTGCTTGCCTGCATCGGTCAGGCCGTCTTTCATGATGCCATCCACCAAGCTTTGATGGCCATATTTGGCCCCAGTGCGGAGATTTGGGAGATAGTGTGGGGCGTTCGACATGGACTCGGCGCCACCGGCCACAACAACATCCGCGTTACCAGTCATGATTGTTTGGGCTCCAAGAATGACTGCCTTCAGACCAGATGCGCAAACCTTGTTGACCGTGGTACACACCGTAGACTCTTCAAGTCCGGCCCCGAGAGCACACTGTCTAGCGGGATTCTGGCCAACACTAGTGAGGACGTGTTAAAAGACCACTCATGAGCAGAGACAATCTAAGCGAGAAGTAGCTCACTTTGCGGAGAGGACGTTTCCGAAGAATACTTCCTGGACATCTGATGGGTTGATACCATCGGCTTTGTTAAGGGCCGCTAATCATGAATCCTGTCAGTTTCGGCACCGAAACCGGAGTAACTGGTATGTCAGACCTTTGATCGCATGAGAACCCAGCTGCGGGGCAGTCTGGCTTGATAGAGAACTATGTTAAAGGTAAGAGTGTGTTAGTTGAGGTTCAACCATTGTACATTACTGGTATCCTGGTGAAGACTCACCCCAAAAATGAGCCCACGGGGGTCCGCGCGGCCGAAACAATATAAACAGGAGGGAGCGAAGACATGATGTACAGGTTTACCGAACAGGTTATGATCCGGAGAAGAGAAAAATATGTGCTGACTTGACAGTGAGAAAAATTCAGCGGAATACCAGACCTTTAGGGACTGCTGAAAGGAAGTAAAGAAAGTGAGTCTGTAGGGGTAAATATGAAATGTCAAGCGGAATCGGTGAGACAAACGGAAACTCTTCACGTTGTACGGAGCACCCCCCCACTAACTTACTACATAGATACTAGTGACTACTAACTACTCCTGCCCAAGCGTAGCGGCCAGCATCGGACGGGCGGGCCAACGGACAAACGTACCACTTACGGAGGAAACTCAAGCAAAAGCAGGACGCCAAGCTCGGGCCGGGATTTGCCTCGTACGTATCAATCTAGGCACAACCTCAACAGCTTGATAGCAGGGAAGAGACAGAAGGACGGAGAGGAGTCTCTTAACAAGAAAAAATTTACATCATAAAGAAAGGCAAAAACGGAAAAAAGAAAGGATAACTGACGTCAAATTCTATCGAGAAGCGCTCAAGACCAGACAAAATAAAAGATTGGCTGATCGTCTGCGAGAAAGAAATGCACTGTCAGTATCAACACTGCTGACTTTTTCTTGTGAGCTCTGCGAAACATTTTGTCTTCAGACAATAATTTCATATCGCAATGGACGACCTTTACGACGAGTAGGTCCCTAATATTCACTTCGTCTGGATCTGCAGCTGACGAGTTGCATCCCAGATTTGGCAACTATATTGGTGAAGCTGGAGAATCGGATGAGGAATCTGCTTATAATGAAGGTGCTGAGCCCCATGCGTTCACATTTGAGGAGGCTTTCGCGGGCAATGAAGAGGGGGAAGCCAGCGAGCATCAATTGATGGAAGTGGATGGTACGTGTTTAACCGGTTCGCGATTCAAGCACCATCGTACTAAGCCGTCTATTAGAAGGTCCCTCGAATGCTGTCATCCTTCATGAAGATAAACAATATTACCCGAGTGCCCAGCAAGTGTATGGAGAGGATGTTGAAACCCTTGTTCAAGAGGAGGACGCACAGCCTCTCTCTGAGCCTATAATTGCGCCCGTTCAACAAAAGAAGTTCGCAATCGAAGAAGCTGAGCTGCCGCAGGTCCATTACTCCAGAGAGTTCATGATGGATTTGCTCAATTTTCCCGAGCAGATAAGGAATTTAGCAGTTGTCGGTCACTTACATCACGGCAAGACAGCTTTTATGGACATGCTTGTTACGCAGACGCATGATTTAGCTGATCGTCTGGAGAAACGAGCCGGCAGACGAAAGGAGGAGCAACTTCGGTATACTGATGTGCATTTTCTCGAAAGAGAAAGGGGCATTTCTATCAAAATGGCGCCTATGAGCTTGGTCCTCCAGGGCACAAGAGGCAAATCCCATCTTTTCAACATTATTGACACTCCGGGTCATGTGAATTTTGTCGACGAAGTGGCGGCCGCATGTCGCCTAGCTGACGGTGTCGTGCTCGTAGTCGACGTTGTCGAAGGCGTGCAAGCGAATACCGAGCAGATCATCAAGCACGCTATACTCGAAGGTCTTCCACTCACGCTGGTGCTGAACAAAATGGATCGGTTGATACTAGAGCTCAAGATACCTCCTAATGACGCTTACTTCAAATTGAAGCACGTGGTTGAGGAGGTAAACACTATCATCGAGAATATTTTACCGGGCCAAGGTGAAAAGAGGCGACTCAGCCCGGAACGCGGCAATGTCTCTTTCGCGTGCGCTTCTATGGGATGGTGCTTCACCTTGCATTCGTTTGCCAAGATGTATGCAGCGAGCTATCCTCAGATTGAGTCATCTGATTTCAGTTTACGTCTGTGGGGCGATATCTTCTACAATCCTAGAAGTCGAAAATTCACTCGAAAAGGATTGGAGGACGAATCAAAGAGGACATTTGTAAAGTTTGTTCTGGAGCCCATCTACAAGCTTTATTCGCACACTTTAAGCGAAAGTCCCGAAGACCTCAAGGATACCCTGGCTAGTGTCGGTGTTGATATCAAACCGTCGCAGTTGAGATCTGACGCAAAAGCCCTGCTTCGCCTGGTTTGTGATCAATTCTTTGGCGCTGCAACGGGTTTTGTGGACATGGTACTCCAGCACATACCCTCCCCTGCAGACGGTGCACAAAAGAAGCTGGAGCGGTATTATACAGGACCCTTGGATACAAAGATTGCAGCAGCGATGGCTGCTTGTGACCCTGATGGCCCACTTGTTGTGCATGTCACCAAGCTCTTTACTAGTGCGGATGCGTCGAAATTTCACGCGTTTGGGAGAATTATGAGTGGCACGGTCTGCCCAAGTCAACAGGTTCGCGTACTTGGTGAAGGCTATACTCCCGAAGACGAGGAAGACATGGTAGTTGCAACTATTTCCGACACATGGATTGCGGAAACGGCCTACAGCATCCCCACAACTGGAGTTCCTGCTGGCAATCTAGTTCTTCTTGGGGGCGTGGACAATTCCATTGCGAAGACAGCGACTCTAGTGCCACTTCAGCTCGACGATCACGAAGATGCCTACATATTCAGCCCAATCCGGCACATGACTGAATCTGTATTCAAGGTTGCTGTCGAACCCGTCAACCCATCGGAATTGCCTAAGATGCTTGATGGTCTTCGTAAGGTGAACAAAAGCTACCCCTTGGTCTCAACCAAAGTAGAAGAATCTGGTGAACACGTGCTTCTAGGCACTGGCGAGCTCTATATGGACTGCGTGCTTCATGATCTTCGGAGGTTATTCTCAGAGATGGAAATCAAAGTCTCGGATCCTGTTACCCGCTTTTGCGAAACCGTTGTTGAAACGTCAGCCATTATGTGCTATTCTATCACTCCAAACAAGAAGAACAAGATCACGATGATTGCCGAACCCTTGGATGATGGGATTGCTGAAGATATCGAGAGCGGCAGAGTCAGTATCAAGGATCCAATCCGCAAAGTGGCTCGGTTCTTCGAAGACAAGTACGAATGGGATAAGCTGGCAGCGCGAAGCATCTGGGCATTTGGCCCAGATGTAATGGGTCCAAATGTTCTGCAGGATGATACCTTGCCTTCTCAAGTCGACAAAAAGCTTCTCAGCAGCGTTAGAGACTCCATTACCCAGGGTTTCAGCTGGGGCACGAGGGAAGGACCTTTGTGCGAAGAACGTGAGTCTTCTCCTTTTTGTGCTTCTTCGCTACCAGTACCGTATACTGGTGTATATGGAGAAGATTACAATTTTAAAACTAGCTAACTGCTGTTCATAGCGATCCGCAACACGCGTTTCAGGCTCACGGATGTCTCGCTTGCTGACCAGGCGATTTACAGAGGAGGTGGTCAGATCATTCCCACCTCCCGACGGGCCATCTACTCTTCTTTCTTGATGGCATCTCCGCGTTTAATGGAACCCATATACTCTTGCACAATGACGGGCCCCGCAGACGCGGTCGCCTCGGTTTATACGGTCCTCTCTCGAAGAAGAGGGCACGTACTTTCCGATGGGCCGATTGCAGGGACGCCGCTTTATTCCGTTCGCGGTTTGATACCAGTGATAGATTCCTTCGGTTTTGAGACAGATCTTAGAATCCATACACAGGGTCAAGCAGCCGTGAGTCTTGTTTTTGACAAATGGAGCGTCGTCCCGGGAGATCCGCTCGATCGTGAAGTCAAGGTTAAGCCTTTGGAGATGGCCCCTGCAATGGCCACCGCCCGCGACTTTGTGCTAAAGACTAGAAGGCGCAAAGGTTTGGCAGAGGATGTTACAGTGAGCAAATTTCTGGAGCCCGAACTCTGGAAAGGATTAAAGGAAAGTGGAGTTCTAGACTCGTGAAAGATATGGTCATGATGATGTTCATTAGAATTACCTGTTGCAAAATTTACCTGAAAATCATCTGTAGGATACTGCAAGTTCACTCATACGAATTTGGTGCATTGTCTATAACCCACAAACATTCAAAACAATTGCAATTCAAGAGATAGTGAATGATCATGACGTCCACTAAAATTACCGGCACGTTTCGAGCATTTTTGCAATAACACCCATAAGTGTTCCATTCTCCAACGCAGCAGCGACTCTTTCTTTATCAGCTAATTGTTTGTTCACCTCTTCAGCTGTGCTGTGAGAGCCTTCTTTGATTTGTACATCCACGCGAAACCGTGGCGGCAGTGATTGCTCGAGCCGAACACGTACACCGAGGCCTATTACTGTAGCAAGGCTGCAATGCGTGATTGTTGGTGTTATGAGAACAGATACTGTCCGAAGAACTGACTCCGGCACATCGGGGAGTGTTGACTTTATAGAAATATCTGGAAGGGATACAACGGCCAGTGCTCCTAGAGATATCGGATGCTCTGGATCGGAAATAGACGATATGAGATCTAACGGCCACAATCGAGTCAACCCCTCTTCTGGCACATGCAGCAATCAGAGGAAGCAAATAGCTCACCATATATTTCTTGCTCATCAATCTGCTCTTCTAGCACCTCTTCTTCGTCGCTAGAATCAGAAGACGAGTATAGAGCGGTGGGCCAATCATTTGAATATGCAGACGGTGGAAAGATTGATGCAAGATTGTCGACTCTGTCTGTGCCTGCCTTGCTCAATGCAGCCGAACCCAATCGAGTGGGGAGATCGGCAACATTCAATATGGTCGGGTTTAAATTCTGCACCTCGGACGCCATGTTTTCTGTGACTCCGGGATCCCTGAAGCAAGAAGCAAGAAGCAAGAAGCGCGTGCGGAGTTAGGTCTCTCCGCGAAGGTACCGTACATCATCGACAAGGCGTGGAACAATGATGGCCCGAATACCAGAGCCAATTGTTGGCAGGGCTTCAGAGCTGGGTAGACCAGCTAGTTCCTCGGACAAGCTGTCAACGGCATCGATAACAGTATCCTTGTGCTAATCATGCCTCCAAGGGGCAAAAACATGTTCCAACTAGAGCATCTAACACTAGCTTTCATGTAAAGCAGGAGGTACGGAGTCTTTCTTTCCGTTCTGGTATTACTGGCCGAAGCCGTGATTCACCAGATAGGTACCACAACACGCTTGACTGACTGTCTGACCCATGCGAGAGTTTCTGGTGCTATCGGTGAACTGCTGTGAAGTCAAGCCAAAATCCTTGCATCATAACATGACTTGACCTACTTTGATCATATACCAGACCACTTACAGAGTACTCATGCCCGGAATGTGATAGCTATGGTGATCATAGGGAGTGTAAGGATTTATGGACAGGATGGCAGCACATCAAAAAGGTACGATACTGCTAATGATGCTTCTCAAAAACCTCTGAGTAATCAAGGGGACCGATACGCCCAGACATAACCTTGTGGATAAATATGAGTATGATGTATTGTACCTACTACAATACGTATGTAGATCGTGCCGCCTAGAAGATCGCGGCGGCAGAACAGCCTGATGACCTAACCAAAGTGGTAACCAAGGTGGTAGGTAGGTAAGTTACCCTCTTAGCATGGATTCCCGCCGCAACTCCTTCAGCCCAGCTCAGAGTGTTCCTGTGCCTTACCTGCAAGACATTGCCTCGGTGGATCTCCTCCAATGCACTCGGTGCTTTCATCATATCTCTTTTGCCCCTTCACTGATAAACTGTGACCTCCAAGGATTAGCTAAACTACTTGCTATCCATTCATCCGATCACATCCGCCTTGTGCTCGCATTTCATGAGTGAATCTAGATGGTGACCGCCAAATCAGGGTGTGATGCGCCAATACTCACGTCCTTGTCTAGTCAAATATTCACTGGAAGGTCAAATCTACTGACAGTGTCCACTACGATGCAGACTGGATAACCCCTTATACGCCTCGATATAAGGTAGGTACCATTGTCTCTTCTCATCCCCCTCCCCCGCCTTTTACCATTTCTCCATTTATGTTCCCCCTCGCGCCCCTCTCCAACTCCCTTCTGCTTGATGGCAATCATCACAGCCTCTCCAGCAGCCACGTAGTTAGTACCCATCTTCTGGGCATCACCAGTCGTTTTCGTATTCCTGGTTTTCGATGCCAGCGGGCTACTTCTGTTCATCTCGCTGGGTTCCATTCAGCTCCTTGTCTTCTGTCAGGCGTCATGGCCTTTACCGAGCGGCGCATTTCTCAGAATAAACTGACGGCTCATAGTTCACGGATGCAGCTTCTTTCCATTCACTCAGAATCTCCCTGGGCTGCGAACTACTTGTCTAAAGTCCATTCACATTCGTCCGGATTTCAATTCATCTTTGGATCCGTACTTACGCTGTGACTTCTTGGTGCCGACTTGCAACATTTGTTCGGGTCAGTCTATGCTGGGAAACGACAAGAGCTTTTTGAAGACTTTACTATTGCACCTATAACCTTGCATGCTCGAGCGAATGCATGATCGAAGCCGTGGAGTGCAGCGTCTTCACCAGCGAGCAGCCTTCGACATAGAGCTACTACTTCCCGCTCAACTTTAGTGGCACGGCTCTTCCATGGCACATAATCCACAGCCATAAAAGGGGCTACTCTTATTATCGCAATATTTCTAGTCTCAGGCAAAGCGATCGGATTCGCTTTGCTTCCCCTTCAGTTCTCTCTCAGGCGCTCTCCGTCGGCCGCATTGCTCCATACGTTTCGAGTCATCCGGACAAGGCAGGCCTTACGGACTTACTCCGAAAATAGTTGGCAGTAGCGCCTGTTATATACCAACCACGAGCTGGCCTTGGCTTAATTCTGAGCTACCTAAGCGACCTTTTCAACTGCGCCAATATGCAGAGTTATTCGTTTGCAACACCCGTTGGTGCCCCAAGAGAAGGGCAAAAAAGTAAGGTTTCCCCGGTATTACACATTTTGATTCTTTGCCACATCATTTAGCCTATAACATCATTGCCGTTTCCTTCTTTACAGTTGTTGATGGCTTGTATGCAGATTATGTCTTTGTCGATGAACATAATCGGCACAAAAGACTCAAAGGTACGCTGTGAAGCTATTTTCTCCAAACTTCGCAGCCAATTGAGACTAAACACTATGTCAATAGTCATGCGAGCCTGCAATGGTTGTAGGAAGCGGAAAATCAAGTGTGATGCTGCCACGACCAATACATGGCCATGCTCAGCATGTACCCGCTTGAAACTTGTATGCGTGCCACCCACGATTGGGCAAGACAACGAATATTTTGCTGGACACGGTATCGAGCCAAACTCCGGAGGTTCTCTAGCAACGTCTAATGCGCCAGAATCTTCGGTTTCCTCGTTCGCAGTATCGCAGGCCTTCAGAGATAGCGGTCAACATCCTGCGGGGCACATAAATTCTTACCACGATGAACTCGGTGTTTATACACAATTTGGACAGCCCACTCCTAGTCAGTCGGCTGCTTATGACCTACGGCCGTCGCATGTGCCTGTATCGCATGACTCCTATCAGCAACCACAAAGCTTCACGGGTGACCATGCGCAGACGCTAGGCGCTACGGAAAGGGACGTTTATAGCGAACATGACCCGTCAACTGCGGAGAATCTGAGTGAAGTTCTTGGCGAGCTTAGGATAGACGAGACCGGCATTGGTAAGCATTATGCAGCCTAGCGACTGTTACAATCGGTAGCTTACGGCCATGCAGCGCCATATATCAGGCAGCAAAGAAAGGAGAGAGCCGAGCCAGAGATCCCAACTCAGGATGATGCGGACGAGAAGCTCCCTCCTCTCAGTACTGGAGCCGGTTCCACCATACGTATCCCACCTGAGCTTATGCCGTCAGATGATGAGGTCATGAAATATTTCAAGATCTACTTCGATGATATACACCCGTATGTTCCGGTTGTTCATAGGTCCCATCTGTACTTCCAGTGGCAGCATGAACGGAGCTTAATCTCACCGTTATTACTCGAGGCCATGTTTGCATGCGCTGGAAGGTTGTCGGATGATCCAGCTCAGGGAGCCCAATGGCTAGCGTTAGCAAATAGTGAGCCAGTGTAGCCCCTCTCTGCAGCCTGTCAGGGATCATCTGTTTCTAATACCAACCTCTTATTACAGGACACGAATCCAGCTTCATGGATGAGCCACGCCTGAGCACAATTCAGGCATTACTCTTACTTCTCAAGGCTCGAGAATCACGGCCCAAAAAAGGCTATTACTACCGCTCATGGCAAACAGTCAAGACTATTGTCTCGATGGCCAAAGATTTGGATATACATGAGCATAATAACCTTCATGTGGAGGAACGATGCTGTGATTTGAATCCTGTCGAGTGCTTGGTGCAAACAAGGGTGTGGCAAGCCCTCCTAGTCGTCGAGGTCATGATCGGTGCTCCTCAGGGTATGTCGCTATGTCTTTCGTGGTTCGTATGATACTGACAATGCCAGGTCGCTCGGATTATGGTGTCGACCCGAGCACTGTGAACATGAGCCCGACATTGGAAATTAACGGCCTTGATCAATTCGAGGTTGATAGATCTAGGCAGTATGCGTATTTTGTTAAGAACGCATCCCACATTCGCATCATTGCGGACATATACCACAAGATCAAGAAGCAAAAAGACTGGGGAGCGAACCCTAAATTTGTCGAGAAGAACCCTTTGTTCACTGACTGGCTTCAGAGTCTCCCCCCTGATCTACAAGTGAACTATCCGCCCGATGGCTCACCTCCTTGGATTCCCTCTCATTTCGTTGGGAATATGCATTCCCACTGTCATCTTGGAATTATTCTGCTACATCGACCCCAGCTACTCGCGTCAAAGTCCTTTACTGCCGGGGGAGGCTGGAAGATGCACATGGCATTGTGTTATTCTTCTGCCAAGTACTTATGTAGACTACAGGAAGCCATTCTGAATCGCTTTGGCCTATCTGGCCTTCTTTTCATGCAACGAGGCATAAATTTCACAATTTACACTGTCCTTACCTGCACAATGCTACACCTCGTGAGTCACAACACCCTTGTCTCGCTCCCTGGGGCTATCGCTAACCTTTCTCTAGGTTGCTATAACATCACCAGATCCCAATTTCCACACGGACGCCAGGGAGTATTTCACTCGACACATGAGGATTCTTGAGCGATGCTCGACTGCTTGGCCCATGCCAGAATTACAAGCACAAATAGATTCATTGCGTTTCGCATTTTCTGCTGATGTCCATCGACCATTTGAACTGAAGGCAACCTTCCCGTATGGAAGCCCATCCGAGCCATATCACCCAAGCCCACCGCTCGATTCGAGCTACGGTACTCAACTAAATCAAGCCTCCAATTTTCCGAATAGAGTGGGTCATACAGCATATCAAATTACCCCTCCTGTGTCTACTGTTACTGAGGAGGCAAAGTCGGATTCATCTCAGCTTCGGCCGTTGGGATTAATCCCGTCCCAGTCGATTTCGAGCCACAGTATAGATGCGCCTTTGGTCGATGAGAGTAGTTGGGATCCCACTCGTATCATCAAGTAAGAGTGAACCCCTTGCCGTTTTATCTCATCTGTCGCAAGTATCACTAACACACCTACTCTCAATGAAGCCAATGGGACATGGCATTCTCTATTGGGCCACCCACTGTCAATACCAATTCCCCGCCTATGGCTATAAGTAATCCTCCACAGGCGATACAGTCATCTATTGCAGGTCAATTTCCGGTCCAATATGGCACACCGACTACGAAGCTTGCCACAATCGCCCCATCGCACCCATTACCACAAGCCCAATTTACGGGGCAACAAGTACTTTTTACTGCACGTGACTGGCAACAAAGCGTTGCCAGTGTTTATGACCCCAACGGGTTAAAAAGACGCTGGAACTATTCTCTCGACTTGAGCACCGAGGAAGTTTCCAAACGACAACATTCATGAGCTTTATGAGATTCTTCTTACCTAAAACAGCACCAGGTAATTTCGTGTTCAGCTGCTTCTGCATGCGATTGGTACCTACTGGTTGATTCTCTTGGTTTGGCAGATTACTTATTTCTTCCCTGCGCGTCCTCTTACTTGTCATAAATACTGTCGAGAGTGCTTATTTCACGGCTCTGAATTCTATACCCTCTATACGTACATTTGCACAGTATCATACACAATCATTGGCGACGGAGACAAAGCATATCATTCACACCTTTGGTGATCCGAAACAACATTCTTCATGGGTGTAGAGGCTCTCGTGTCCTGTCCATCCGCAACAATAGCACAACCGGGTTGTTCGGGGCGTTCAATGGCTACTTTTCTTTCTCATTTAAAGTAAATGCAAAACATGATCTTATGTAGATCGGAGATTCTGGACCTTGTGCAAACAGGAAAGCGCAGATATGCTACACCCAGGAAACTCAAATGGAACTTGTCGGCCTGGTCTAAGGCTTTGAGTGGTCCAAGAATAAGCAACGGCGAAAATGAAAGGAAGGTTCTGCGTGGTGGACACTGACCGCGTGACAAGATACAAAGTACACGGGACAATGCGCTTTCTCGAAATACAGATCCCACAGTAAGCCGTTTGAGGAGGGCGAGTGGGATAGATGGCATGCAGACCAGCAACGACCTGCCCAAGGTGCAAGGGAAAATTGGTGAGGCAATTGATATAAAGAAATTTGCAGTTGTTCAATGATGACGAGAAACGCCTATACGTTCGTCACGCGAACGAACTATTCTTGCCTTATCTCCAGGCAAAGGTTTAAGTTCGTCGTTTGGATCAAAGCTGGCAGGATAGGTGTCCGTGGTGTGATTTGTAACTTCGTTGCTTCGAGTCAACTTGCGAAGTCGCGCTTCTTCGAAGGCAGCAAGGTCTTCTGATGTCACGGCTATTGCGGTTGGCTTACGCCGAAGCATTTTGTTAGAAGGCTAGAATCAATCGATGAATGATTTTGATGTTTGGATGGTAAGAATCCCGAAGGAAATGATAGCATGGCGAGGCAATCACAGGCACGTGATCATATAGCATCCGCGGCTTGCAACAAACAATTTTACACTTACCTGAAATTACCAGTGATACATCTTCCTCGCCATCAAAGATGTTTCAATCCCGGATTACGCTTCTACACCAAGGGTGTGCTAAGCTGACTGAAAAGCCTCATGCATTTGTCCGTTGCTTGTCTGCCCTTGACTTCTTGGCCCAGACCAATACACCTCGATCCGGTAAGTCTGCAAATTTTGTGGTGGTGGTGCCGGCCATGGGGCTGCCATTATACCTTCGCTCAGGTTGTGTCGATGAACCTTCGATAACACTCTTGAAGGCTTTTATTTTGACTTGTGCATATATGTATTTCTCACCGTTTGGTCCTAATCATCCTAGGTACTCGAGGAGTCACTACCTCTTCCACCTCGAACTCAAGCGGAGCCCCCCAGGCTCGACCTAGGAGGCCTATCATCCCACCAGCTCGCCTAAATCCCAGAAACACGGGCTCTGATCGGCCTCTTCCTCGAAGAGTTATTGACGCAAGATCCTTAGCCGCTGGTCGAAGCGGTTCTCAGCCCACCAACATCATAAGGGGGCCAAGACTTCGGACTCCTCAGAATGTAACAGCTGCCCGGAGCCGCGGACCGAGACCTCCCACGCAAAAGTTCACAACTAAAGATCGGAGACAACGTCGCACACGCACCCCATCAGATGTCGATACAGATGAGGCGATCGATGAACAAGGAATCAGAGCCGTGTTCGATGAACTTGCAGAGCAAGCAAAGCCCGTCTCCGTTCGTTATGATCCGGAGCCCGTCACCTTGGATTCTCTAAGGGAGACGTGGCCAGCTTTGCCCACCGATGTCGGTGCTCATACAGCTGGAGTTGCTGAGACACTGTCGTCGATCAGCGCCCGCTTCGCCCACGGTTATGTTTCTCCTACAGAAATGGGCAAGCGGCTATTCCAAGGCAGATATGTTCGCTTCTTGGACGAGGAGGAGAAGTCACTTGCTGTAGCAGAGGCAAGGAGGCTGTCTCAAGTACTTGCGGACAAGCTCTCACAGCGAAAAGGCGATCTGGTTGAGCCCAATGAAGTCACGTTCAGCCCAATTGACGAAAAGGATCGAAAGACTCTGATTGAAATGCTCGTTCAGGGTAAATATCCAAAGACCTTAGATGGGCAGTCTGCCCAATTTCCCGTCCTGGATCAAATTGCGACGAACTTGAAAAACAACGGGTCATATCTCACAGCTGGAAAGGATATGCAGTTCTCTGCTAAGGTGGAATCACTTTTGAGCTCTGGCCGTCCTACAAAGCGTCTTTAACCGTCCTCGTTCTTGCTGTACTTCATGTATACTTAGTCATCTATTCTTACATACTTTGCTGTTGCTGATGTGGCTTGGACTTCCGGTTGTAACTCTCGGTGACTGGAAAAGTTGCTGAAAGCCGTAAATGTTCTTGACCTCTGCCCTTGCTGTAGGGAAGAGGCCTGATTGGTAGCTCAGTTTTACGCTCTCTCCATGGCCTTCTTCGCCGTTTCAAATAGTTCTTTCACATCTTTCTGTCCCTTTTCTGAAAGTTTTTCCATCTGTTCCTGTGCCTTTCGCACATCATCCGGTCTAGCAGCCTTCTTTTTCTGCATGTCTTGGAGTCGTTTGTGTACGCCGCCTCTCGAATCCCGCACTGCCGTAACGGCTTTCTCCATCGCTTTCTTAGCCATGATAACTGCCTGCTCCCGGGATTCCTTCGTAGGTGGTGGGATGGGAACATTGAGCTGGAGAGCATTATGAGGATCGGCTTGAGGGGTCAAAGATAGATTAGAGGAAATGATTGCAGAGATAATTGATTTAACGTGCTAGGAATCAAGGTGAATAGGTCAGACTAAGTTCAACAGCAAATCATATAGCATAATTCTGGATAAAAAGCCAAGAGGGAATTGGCATACATCTTCTTCCGCAGCCAAGACTGTAACCATGCGTCCGCCTTTAGGTATCACCTGGGCTAGGTCTCCGAGTCTCAATGTCTCTTTGTTCGCTTTGCTGAGCTGCACCCGCAAGCTCTCGATGGCATATATATCAAACCGTCCACCGCCACGGAGTTTGGAGAGATCATCTTTTAAGCTGGACAAAGCAGCAGAAATGCCATCATGGAGCTGGGATAGGTCATAAGGGTCACCAGAAGCTACTGAGTCTTTAGGGGCTCTATCTTCGGCCGCTGCGCCGGAAGATGATCGTGATTTATCCTTCTTCTTGTGAAGTGAAGTTGAGTTGGAAAACCCGCGATATTCCGGTACGACTGCAAGTTTGTGTTGAGCAGAGAGCCTATGCAAACCGATAAGCGGTGAAGCGATTGGGGTGAGACATCGAGCACCAAAAGTTCTCGAGATTGCTGTAGTCGCACGCATTGCTGTGGCGAATAGGTTTCGATTTGTTTCGCAGAGTGGTTTGGTCTTGACAAAGTCGTCATCACACATGCGAGGTTTTTGCTGAGCTTGAACTTTTGCATGGCTTACTTAAGACTGGACCAGCTGGTGCATACAGTACATATTACATAACATCGGCATCGGGCTAGACCCACTTGGCATGAGTAACATCGAAGGTCTCTTAGGGTCAGAGTGCAACAGTCCTGTGTCGAAGATGCCGAAAGTGCTACACAATTAGTCGTATGTACGCATACTTCTTATCTCTAGTGATGTCACATTGAGGAATCTTTGAACGAGAAAAAATGTACTTTTCATATTTGTCTCCCCAATCATAAATAAACACTCTCAATCCAGAAAGGGTCCGTAGGTAACATAATAGTCTTTGATCTCATGTGTGGCGAAATGATTCTTCACTGAAAATAGCAAGCAAGGGATGGGGGTAACTCGGATGGCAGGCTCCCTGGTCTCAAGATGGGGGATTATTATAGCAGAATGAGGCTCGGAAGAATTAACGAGTAGCCATGGCCTTGGTGATGAGTCTCTTGAGCGCAAGCTCCTTCTTCTTCAAATCCTCGGGGGTGGAATCCTCAATTTCAAGCTGAGCCATGGCATCGCTAAGAGCGGATTCAATCTTCTCCTTGTTGCCACGCTTGAGCTTAAGAGACATGGTGGGATCGGAGACGATTTCTTCAACGCGAGAGATGTAGGACTCGAGCTGTTGGCGAGACTCAAACTTCTTAGTGAAAGCCTCGTCACTAGACTTGAACTTGGCAGCATCTAGACGCGTTGTTAGTAAAAGAGATTATCCGAGCGGCAAAAATTCTTACCATCAATCATCTGCTCAATTTCAGTGGTAGAAAGCTTGCCAACAGCGTTAGAGATAGTGATATTGGCAGTACGGCCAGACGACTTCTCAGTAGCAGTGACCTTAAGGATACCGTTGACATCAACCTCGAAGACAACCTCAAGGGCAGCTTCACCAGCTCTCATGGGAGGGATGGGTGCCAAGGTGAACTCGCCCAAGGAGGTATTGTCAGCACAGTTAGTACGCTCACCCTGGTAAACGGGGAACTGGACGGTGGTTTGGTTGTCAACGACGGTTGTAAAAGTGCGCTTCTTGATGGTAGGGACAGTTTGTCCACGGGCAACGACGGGAGCGAAGATGTTACCCTCCATAGCAACACCAAGAGACAGAGGAACAACGTCGAGCAGCAAAAGATCCTGAGTCTCGGCGGAAGTGGCCTTTCCAGACAGAATTCCAGCTTGCACGGCAGCACCGTAGGCAACAGCTTCATCGGGGTTGATGCTCTGTCAATCATGTCAGTTTATGGTCCGAGAAAAGAGTATCGAGCGGCATGTTTACCTTCTCCAGCTTCTTGCCATCGAAGAAATCGCTGAGAAGCTTCTGGATACGGGGGATACGGGTAGAACCACCGACGAGCACAATCTCGTCGACCTGGCTCTTCTCAAGACCGGAGTCCTTCAAGACCTGCTGAACAGGCTCAAGGGTGCCGGAGAAGGACTTGGCGTTGAGATCTTCGAAACGGGCACGAGTAATGGAGGAGTTGAAGTCCTCGCCATCGAACAGAGAATCGATCTCAACTGTGGTCTGGGTGGCATTGGACAGAGTGCGCTTAGCACGCTCACAGGCGGTTCTCAGGCGGCGGAGGGCTCTAGGGTCACCAGACAGGTCCTTTCCGGTCTTACGCTGGAATTCCTTCTTGAAGAAGTCCAAGAGGTTAGTGTCGAAGTCCTGTCCACCAAGGTGGGTATCTCCAGCAGTGGCCTTGACGGTGAAGACACCTCCCTGGATGTTGAGGAGGGACACATCGAAAGTACCACCACCCAGATCGTAGATGAGGACATTACGCTCCTTCTCAGACTTGCCAGAGCCAAGACCATAAGCGATAGCAGCAGCAGTGGGCTCGTTGATGATACGGAGGACATTGAGGCCAGCAATAGCACCAGCATCCTTGGTAGCCTGACGCTGGTTGTCGTTGAAGTAGGCAGGAACCGTGATAACGGCCTTCTCAACCTTCTTTCCGAGCTTAGTCTCGGCGACTTCCTTCATCTATCTCAGAAGTCAGCAGCCGACCTGACGACTTGGGACAAAAGTCAATTACCTTCATCAGGACCATGGAGGAGATTTCCTGAGGAGTGAAAGTCTTTCTCTCGCCAAGGTACTCGACCTCAACGGCAGGGTTGCCACCTTGGTCGACAACCTTGAAAGGCCACGACTCGATATCCTTCTTCACAATAGGATCCTCAGACCGACGACCAATAAGACGCCTGGGATGCATCAGATTCTGTATGTAACAAAGGAGCCCTCAATGGGTTGAGGACACTCACTTGATATCGAAGATGGTGTTCTCGGGGTTCATGGCGGCCTGGTTCTTGGCGGCCTCACCGATCAACCGTTCCTTGTCGGTGAAAGAAACGAAAGAGGGTGTTGTGTAGCTACCCTGCTCGTTGGCGACTAATGGACTTGTTAAGCATAGCGGCTAACGTCCAGTAACAGGCAAATACATACTGATCTCAACATTGGTGCCTTCATAGTTGGCAACGCAAGAGTAGGTTGTGCCTTATGTTGTTGTCAGCCATGTTCAGAACACATCTGCACGTTGAACAGAAATTTCACATTCGATGGAAGGGAGATGGCAAGGTGAGTTAGCATACCAAGATCGATGCCAATGGCACCTTCGTAAACCTCGTCAGCCATATTTAAGATGTGAGAAACTGATATGGAGGTGGGAGGAATCTAGGTGAAAATTTTGGGGGGGGATTGTTGGAGGGAGAAGGTCTTATAAAAAACGCCCCAGGTGTTGAGGTGGGAGTGATTAAATTTTTATTCTGGAAAGGGAAAGGTAAAAAAAATGGAGGAAAAAAACCCCCACTTTTCCTCTTTTTCTTTGGTTCTCGTTTCCTCCAAGGCTCCAACCCTCCCGCGCCCTCGGCTGAGATGGCTTACTACCTTAGTAACACTTAACCCTTAGTAATCGTTGTCCTTTCGTAACTAAGTCAGTTATGTCAGTAGGTTGGTACGTTAGGTCATCTAACCAGTACCTCAGTCAACACTGACTAGCTACTGAGAATATTCAATAACTTACCTAGCAACCTCTTCCTACCATTTCAGGTATGGCCAGGTGTCAGGCTATGGATCCTTATCCAGTCAGGTGTAGCATACCAGTAAGCCTAGGCCTCAATTCATCCTCTCAGTCCACACATTATATTCCTCGCCGCCGTTAAAGGTAGTAAGCATCTGCCCAGGAGTGTCATCCACCATATATTAACCGCTGTGTTGCTGGCTATTTTGTAGTAAGGATGGTCCCAAGTGAAAGGCTACTGATAACATATTCTGTTTCTATACATGCAATCTTTTTACATATGAAACATATCATGTAAGGGATATATGATAAAGAACTCCAAAACTCACATTGAAGACTTGTTATACATGAGGTTTCAAAGCTTGGTATAGAACTATATAGTACATCTGAACTAGTACATAAGACCTCATATCTTTGAACGTATACACATCCTTGTATATCCGACTGGATACAATTCCTAAGTATGTTACTTCCTCGCAGATAGTCCCTTACTAGACCTAGTCTAGGTCCGACAGTCAATGTTACCTTCTACCCTCAATACACCCTCAAAATCCCCCACAGAATACGATGTGGCGATGGGTAAGATACTTGGGTGGGAGGACAGTGTGTAATCTCTGGGAACTTGCTTCAATTTTTAATTTTGAAGGGCACAAACAAGAACCCTGATCACTGGCATTTGTTATTGTCTAAAAGGCTATCTGACAAGTTTTCCTGTCCTAAAAAGGGTGGGAGGACCATATGACCTCTACTAAAACAACAGAAGATACCAGCTGCGTTTCAAAGGAAAACCCAGACTATCAACTTCACTAGACTGTCCTATATCACCGATATATCTGGTAAACCTAACCCTCCCATGATGAGATCATATGCGTCCTATGGACAAAAGAACCAAGCATTCCATGCTTTCATGGAACCATACATGTGGAAAGAAGAGGTATTGTTCTTATCATGCTGCTTGAGTTGTTGCAGGGTTTCCACTTGAATATCAAATTGGTTACTTGATTGATACTACATAGGTCTTGCGCAATCGACTTGTCACTAGCAAAATCTCATTTTGAGAAATAAGATTCCTAGCACTATCCAATATCCCCGAAAACTTGTGTTATAAATAAGAGGAACGTCAGTGTGTCTTGTTTACCTTAGAGTTTATGACTTATTTGGTAGAGACATCTCCATCCTATATGATTGACACCTCAGGCACTGATATCAAGCTGATAATCCCACTAGCAGTATCCCAAAGAGTTGCAAAGCCACTTGCTTAACTTAAGTCGACCCCGTCCAATCTTCTGTCCCTCGGCCCAAGAACAAATCACAAATCCCGCATGCATATAAGGATTCTACCGCATCTCAGGCCTTTAGAGATATTTTAATCGCACTGTACCTGTGACCAAATCTCGTTTGTTTGTCCCGGTTCTTGCGCCTCCTAACCCGTGAGTCTCCATACAGAACCACAGATTATTTTCTTGTCATGAAATTCAAAGTCTTCACCCACTAACCTTGCTATCTTGTTTATAACTAGAATACTTGTCTGTACTGTGCTACCAACTCATCCACCGTTCCAAATGGATATCGATATGAGCAGAAGAAACAAGAAGCCACGCCTATTACTAGAATCAGAACGTGAGAGACTCGAAGAGTTCATTGACTCTATACACTACTCTGCCAGGTAATGATTTTGACCAGATACATATGGGCTTTTCTCACTTTCACCTGGCCTCTAGATACTCTGATGATCAATTCGAATACCGACATGTCCAACTCCCCAAGAACATGCTGAAAAAGATACCGGCCGACTACTTCGATAGCGCAAAAGGAACTCTAAAATTGCTCTGGGAAGATGAGTGGCGAGCGCTTGGTATTACTCAGGTATGGCTGGTT